TTATTTTCACTCAATTTCACCTTTAAAAAGATTCTCCCATAAATAAAATTTTTCTTCACATACGCGCATCGTAATTCAAAAATAATTTATTTCACTTACTGTTTATTTTTATGAGTTGCTTTCTTATTTACTCGTAAAGGAAGACAAACTTATGTTTGATTAGAAACTTTGTAATGGAAATATCGTTGTTACTTAATTAGCCAGTGAAACTTGCAAAATGGCGAATTCAGAGAGGCCAAAATGTGAACGTGGCTGACCTGTGTCGCGAACCAGGCTGTCGCAGGTTTCACCAATCGGTGTCATTGAATGTAGAAACAACATTTCTCTTTTTCTTTACCGTTACGCGGCTAGTCACGATTAGCGATTGCCAGGGACGTTCATTAATAATTCAGCGCAATACGTTGCATCCGTGGATGGCCACGAACGCTCGCCTGTTATTCGACCACGAAAGAAAACCTCTGCCCATGTTGGCTAGTGATGTTACTTAACGACGACTATCGATTTTATACGCTTAGGTTCGCATTAAGTGTCGATCAACTCTTGGAAAGCCACATCTGAGCCCGTTTTCATGCATATTCCTCTGTGCTAATGATGAAAATGACAACATAATAATATATAATTTTCAAAGATTGGAATAATAATCAAGCGTTTTGTTTATTTAAAATTCTGAGATTGATTGATATTAAATTACAAAACTGTATAATTAATATCTAAACTTTATGCAATATTGCTGTATTGGATAATGAATTAAATATCAATGAAGAGAAATAATCAATTAATAAGTGAAAACACAAACCCAACCTTTACGAGAATGAAAATGTTAAAAACGTTAAAAACGATCGATCAAAAATTCCAAGGCAAGAGATAAGCAAGATATTAATAAAGAGGGAGGGGGAGGATGATCAAAACAATACAGATTTCTATTTAATTAAACGCAATCAAAAATCGCATATTTTCCTATTTGCATACCCATTTTACGAGCGTCAGAGACTCATTAAGCACGCATTAAAAGCAAGCCGAATTTGCATTTTGCATCCTCACAATAAAACAAAGCCTTCGTGCGAAAAGAAGAAGAAGAAGAAGAAGAAGAAGAAAGAAAAAAGAAAGAAAGGGAAAAAAATAAGCAGGAAAGAAAGATTAGCAAATTCAATTCTTTGGAAGGAGGATACTGTGCCTTCTCCTCGTTTCGTAGACTTCGTAAATCAAGATCGAGAGTTCACTCAGCCGATCGACGTTTTCACCATCGGCCTGGTGATTAATATCGCGGCTCTGGCCCCTCACGTTTTAACATCGAATTAAACCGTTACACGATCCCGGTTACAGGTGTTTCAACTGTGCTTCTCCGCGATTTCAAAAGGTTCCCTAGCCGAGAAAATGAAATTTATAATCTAGCGTGGCAAATGTCAACGTGGAAGGAACGGTTTGAAATCGTGGATCGAGGTGAATTACGATGGATGGAGGTCGGAACGATGAATCAAAGGCGACAGTTCTTCCAACGTTTTTAATTCTTTGACAGTGTAATAAAACGACGAGAAATTGAGATAACTTGGAGAATTGTCATCCATTTAAAATCTTCTTAGAGTCTATGTATGGGGGGAAAATATCTTTAGATTTTTATGACTAGTCGATTTTAATTAGGATTCATAGGATAAACAATTTTCTTTCGTTTTCGAAAAGTTTTTTGTTGTTGGAACTTGATAGAATTTTATGGAAGAAGTTATTACTAGGGAAAGACATTTTAGAATCTATAATTATTTCGAATCCTCATTTTAATAATTATAATTAAACGTAATAAAATTTACAGAATCATTAAGCTTGTTTGAGTTTATCTATCTGTGATAGATAAATACATAATGGGTTATATAATCTGAGTTGATTTTAAAAATAAAAAATATCTCTTGAAAAAATAAGATACAATATTTGATATAATATTTATAATATTTTTGCATTCCCAGATTTTAGTTCCCAAAAAATAGACTTTTTTTCTCTTTTTTTTTTTTTGTATTAAATCAATCTTATTCAATCAGTTCTATTTAAATCCTTTTATTTTATACTAATAAATCATTATATCGTTTCTATTATTTTAAAAATTAATAATTAGTCATAATTATTTCATTCTACTAATTTTCTACTAGTTTTTATAAACTATGACCATGATATTATTGATCTATCGAGTTTTTGCGGATTATTTCGTCTTGTATATTTTTAAAAGATTTTTACTCGTGCTCTTTCAAGTGTTCTTTGAGGTAAAAGTCGCCAAGGTCGTCACACTTTTTCCTTCCACCAGAAAAACATTTTTACATCTTCCTAGCGAAATCAGGTAACAAAATATCTCCATATCAAATTAAACGTCAAATATTAAAATAATTTTTTCCTTTCACAACACATTACCATTGAAATAACATTATTCAAAAACAAAATAGGGAATAAAATCCAGATTTTATTTCGAAAACACCCAATTATTCGAATAAAACAATAAATATCTCCATCCAATCAAATTATTAATATTTTTTAAACGAAACATTTATCATAAATTCCTTTTCTCAGATCTGCAAAATCACTATTTCTGACCTGGCTTCGTCGACTTCCCGCACTTTATTTAACTATCTCTCTCCCGCGAATCGCGAAAGGTGTCCCGTTTCCTCTCGATCTCGTTTCGAATTTGTTCGATTATCAAGGAGCAGAATCGACACACGAGGTCGTCGCTCGACGAAAGTGAGAGGGCTCGGGTAACCCGGAAGGACAAAACGAGTTCTTGATACTCGTTACAACGAAGGTCCTCCGGAGGAGCGCGTAGGCAGGGAACTGTCACTGGTTCCCTCGATTTACGAGATACATCCAGATATCGTCGAACTTTCCTTCTTCATTCACTTTTCACAACCAGCCTTATTAACCTTGACGTGTGGACAATTCCCTCGAAACCTTGGAAATTTATTCCTGAATAAATTAAATTATTCGAAATCGAATATATAGATTTTTTTTTTTGGCGATGTTCTCACGACGTCGTTTAAATGATAATTATAGGTTAAATGGTGACACTTAAGTGGTAATAATAGAATCGTGCAAATGGTGAAATATTATATTAGGCAAGAAAGAGAATTTTTTTATTGTACGATCGATATAATTTTGTTAGGATTGAAAAAATTATTCTTGTGGAAAAAATAAATGACAAGTCGTCGAGTAACAATATGTCATTTTTTTTTTTTTGCATTAATTACTTCTAATTCAATGTATTATTATTATTATTTATTGATAAATATTGGATATTTCATGGACATTTTTTAAAAATTATTAATGAATAATAATAATGGTAAATTTTGAAATATTTTTCACATATTTAATTGTATTATTTTACAACTCGAATTCAATGTATGTAACATTATATTACATGTCTACTACAAGAGAAACTTTTACCACTGTATATACGAACCGAAGTAATTACGTGTCAATAACCGATCATTAACTACTTTTCCTTTCTTTCAATTGTTAGAATTATCTTAGATTCTCTCTGAATCGAAAGATTTGATTAAAATAGAAATAAAAAATATTATTTACAAATTTTTCTTCATCTAAGTTTTTATCGAAAAAAATATTAAATGTTTAAAAAATTTTTTCACGTTGAATGATATTTCTTCCTTTGAAATTTCAGTTATCGGCAAAATTTGATTGAAATATCAATCTTTAAGAATAATGAATATTTTAATTTCCTCAAGAATATACAGATTTTTATTAAAATTCAATTTTGCATATTCTTTGCAAAGTCACTCTATTTTTCAATACCATTTCTATATATTTCACCTATATAAATATCTTCATACGAACAAAAGGATGTAGGTTGATAAGTCTTTGATAAAATCAAAGACTCGGCGAAAAACAAATCTCATTTCCGATACTTTTTTCATATTTCGTCATAAAAATTTCCACTGTCGAAACGTTATCTATCCAGTAGATAATAGTTAATAGTCTATCTCTCATTGTATCTTCACATCTAACTATAAACAAGATCGAAACGTATCTCGCAATATCCATTCTCACTTTCTATAAATTTTCAAACAAGATTGGCCGGCCAGACAGATTGGACGTTCAAAATATCATTCCATCATTTGGATTGGTTCGGTCATCGATGTGCAAGAGCACGTGGAAAGAGAATTAAAAAAAAAGGAGGGAGAAAAAAGAAGAATAATGACACAACCCCGTCGCGATCTCGATGTCTGTTTTAATCCTTTCCGAATCGATCTCTTTTCAGACCGGTTCCACGGTGGTCTTGCATGAATCCGCGCATGATGTAATATCGTTCGAATGAAAAATAAAACGAGTTTGAAAACGGAGCCGACTTGATCGATGAAAAAAAGGAAAAAAAATGGAGGAAAAGATTCTGCGAGAAACAAGCCATTTTTTCTTTTTTTTCTTTTTTTTTTTCAAGAACCGTCTGCGAAACTACGATGCCTAATAGGCCTCGTATCGTTCCTTAATTTCGACGAATGTGAATAAATTTACAAAATTACAAATTTACTGATTCTGAAAAATGGACTGATTAAAGTGAGATAAATCTCTTCAAATCTTCTCTTTACATTAATTTCGTTAATAATTGTCAAATATAGTGGATCTAATTCACGATATTCTAATTATATAAACAAAAATTAATGGAAAAGTTGACTCGATATTTCTTCCAAATTTTAACTAAAATTTAACGTAGTATCAAATCTTTTATTATTCTCCTATCTGCAAAGCAATAATAGAGCTAATGCGATTAATAGACAACACTTTCTTTAAAACGCGAACGAATTTCACGAAGATTTACAAAATCTGATTCAACAACTCTATCATTCTATCAGCTCTCCTCTCGTTCACTACTTTCACGACTCTGTGAATATTTTCCCAGAGATTGATTAAACTTTTCCAACTAGTTTTCACAAAATAAACCTTTTCTCTTTATAATACTCCTCGAAGAAGAAACACGACTATATAAACCGATTTTGTAGAAGCCACTTTTCACTTACCATGATTCGTCCAATTCTTCCAGCCACGCGTCCCAAGATGGAAAATTAGCACCAATATCAGTGCAAACAAAAGAGGAAGGGATGAGAAAAGAACCAAGACGCGCTCCAAGCAAAATGTGCAAGTATATGTGCCGCGTGTCAAAACAAGAAAAACAGAGTCCACGGACCGGGAGTGAGGCGAAGAAAAAAAAAAAGGAGGACCGTGATCGATACGAAGAATCAGTGATCGAGGATCCACCGCCACATGATCGAGCAACTGTCACTAACAACAGTTCAGAAAGCACTGACCGTAGTGAACGAGTGGCTGCTGTCATTCTCTCCCTCCTCCCTCTCTTTCTCTTTCACTCCGTCCGTTTCTAGCCAGTTCGCACCAACATCTTTCTCGCTCTATCTCTCTCCAACTCTGTCCCACTCTCTTTTCGAACACGAGGAGGAAGGAAGGAACCCCCTTCTTTCCTCGAGAGAAACGTTCACAATCGGACTCGCTGTTTCGATAGAGATGCTCGTGCCTGTGTTTGCAACCCTCTCCCCATCCTCCCCTCCCTCCTCTTTTTTTTTTCGCGTTGCAGAGCACGCGGGAGAAGACACGCGAAAATCGTTGTAACAGGGGCAGACAGGACCCGTGGACGATGTCAAGATTGTCCTCGGTCCCGCTGCAATTAAAGTCACCTTTCATTTTGTGTACAGTAAGTGACTGCGTGTGCCGTGCATACAAACGCGTGGACGATGCGAATGTTAAAATAAACGGAGGGCTTAGATTGAACAAAGTTGAAAAAAAGTTTTCTTTTTTTTCTTTGATTGATTATTTTCTCCTTCTGTAGCAACGTAGGTTTTTTTTTTTTTTTATATGGAAATCAGAAGAGAAAAACAAATTTAAAATCATTTCAACGAAATTCTGAATCTAAATTTTGAGAAAATATTCATTGTTACACACGATATAGTATATCGTACTAAGTATCATATGATTGTACACAAATTATATGAATTTGTGGTGGATTAAATGATTGAAATTGGACGAGAGTCCAAGTTTTTGATTGAACGAATCGTTCAATTTATATTAATATTAAATTTTTAACATTCGTAATAAAAATCGCGAAAGCAAATGATGAATTTTAATTGTTCTCTATTGCTCAAGAAAATCATCAAAAATCTAATTAAAATATATGGTTAAATCGAAAAAATATTGGAAAACAATACTTATATCATTACAGGGTTAAATTTAATAATTAATAAGTAATAAAGATTAATGTTCTATCCGCAATTATCTTAATTCCTTCCAAGTGTTTGAGTATGCATCTTTGAGCTATAGTGTAAATCAATCTTGTTTGACAACTGGTTCATACTGGCAACGCATTGAAACTGACAACAGGGCCCGATCGACCACTCGGTAAATGGGAACGCGAGAGTGAAACGGCGATCTAGCGATCTAACGATCTACATCGGCTGGCTGGAACAGCGTTTCCCAACCTATTATATCGAACACTATGAACGTAAGTAAATTTTATGCATCAAAAGTTTTTAGATTTCCTTCTAATGACATGAAAATATGACGTGGTTGTCGTTCATTTAAACATTAAAAAAAAAATAAAAAATATTTCTCAATGTGTTACGAGACTTCCTTTTACATGGTCTTTTATAATATAGTGATTAATTTTCTCACAATTATATAAAAATGCATTTTTTAAAAACGAAGTAGGTAAACACGATCATTTATTTTTAAGAATGATTCAAAATTACGAGATTAGGTGTGAACAGTGAAAATAACATATTTAATATTGTTACAATTCGATGATATTCTTTAATATTATTAATAATTGCCATAATTTATAGTATTTCCATATAAATATATTGAAATGTTGAAAATTTTCTATATGCATGATTTGTATAAATAAAAATAATAATCGAGATTTTTATCGAAATAAATATTCATTTGAATACAAATATTTATTATTTTTGGAATTATTTTTTTTCTTTATCAATTTTTAATTTTCTATTTCATTTTTGATCGAAATAAATAAATAAAATAACTCGAATAATTTGTTTTGTAAGATATAATTATACGTTATATTTAATAATGACCTAGAAGATTTATAATAAAGAGATGAATGTTATTCTAAAATGTAGATGTTGCTATTTCATTATCAAATGAGATAATCTTGATCGATTAAGCACAAGAAAAAAATTATTAATTTGTACAAAATAAACGTTGTTGCATATATTACATAAAGATATATGTATGTCATAAAGATATTCATGCATGATGGATTAGAAAAGTTAAACAATGTTAAAATTTCACAATATTCTCTCATGATATTTTTACCGAGCATTTTTGTTCTAAAAAGATAAGATTTATAAGAAAAATTTGTACATAATGTAAAATGAAATATGATCTATAAAATAAAACAGTATAGAATAGACATTTTCTTCAATTAATATTTAGAAAATATATTATCCTATATATACATATTATTTAATCTACTTAATACATACGTATATTTATCAACTTCTTTTCTTCGCATCATCACAATTCACATTTTTCAAAGCTAATCAAGCTTAAGAAATGTTTCAGTATCTGATAGAGTTCTAATGTAACGACGTAATTTATCTCAAAACCACTTGTAAATTAGATTCTAATGCGTAAATTGGATTCTTAGTTCTTAGTAAGAAGTAGACCGTAGAATTTGCGAACCGGTTTCCTTAATGATAAAAATATACGAATGTATTCTATAACTTTGAACTTTCTAGGATGTGAATAAAGTTTAGAGGAAAGATCTCTATTAATTCTTCTTACCTTCTCACGATTTTCACCTTCGTCGAAACACCTTCTCTTGCACGTTCATTTAATTTATAACATGAATTAAATTGTCATACTGATGCGTATAATTTTCGGTGTTATGCTATATACATTTAAATGAAATATCGTGACACTGGTGTGCCACATATGAATCACTTATAAATTCTGTAGGATATTAAAATTTTTCTGGGTGAAATTGAAAATAAATATTTATGTGATTAATTGGTTCCAAATTGATAAATGGTCCTGAAAAAAAAAAGTATCAATTAATAAATTTTACTATACAAATTTTCCGATATTATTTCAATTAAATTATACAGTAAATACAATTCAAATGTGTTCACAAACACTTTATACTTTATCTCCTTTAAAAAATTATAAAATTGGCATATCAATATCAATTCGTTTAAAATATTTTTACGCTTAAAAATGTTATTATCTTGAAAATTATCAGACCAAATTATAAAACAAAAGTAAACGTCCACTAAAATCATCTATCTATCATATTTATCAACTAATTGTAAATTATTGAACGATTCGTCATTTATTTATGAAGAATCCGACCGTATCTGCAACATTTTCTCAAATTTCACAAAAAAATTATACCCTTTTCGAAGATACCTTGAACCATCATTATTTTCGTTACGCAACGCACGGCAATCTGAAGAGACACGTTGCTGCAACACGTTGCAAAGAAATATTTCCACGAATGCACAAATGCAGAACACACTCGCATAAAATCAGCAAAGAGACGATCAAGAACTAGCAAGGGTTACGACAGAATTTCACCTGGTCTCGCGTTATCTTTACGTTAAATCTTGGAAAGGATACGTTGCATATGCAGCCAGAGATATATACACACATACGCGTTGTTTCTGCCAAATATTCTCATTATTGTGAAGACAGTTTGCCTGTACTTGTGCAAAACGTGAAAGAAATTATGTTATCCATTGTCATTTCAGCCATTTTGAAAAGGAAACTCGTATTTTTTGGAACGAATTTTCACTGTCCCCGTCCATTTTCTTCCAACTTTTTTTCCTTCGCCTCATTCCCTGAAACTTATATGGGAATATTCTTAAGTCAAAAGGAAAACAAAGTACACGATTCCTCTATGGAAAGGAAAGGGTACACCGACAAGGTGATTGTACAACTTAGATGTCATTTTTACCTGTTGTAGGTGAATTAAAAGCCTTTTAATTAGTCATAAGCTAACTCTTGAGGATTTCACATCATTGATTAGTCGGTCACGGAAATTTTTCCATCATTATTAAGCACTTCGACGCCATATTTTTTTTTTCATTGATATTAAATTTTTCAAGCGAATTTTGATGAGAAATGAAATGATATGATATTCAATTTCTACTTTTTGCAAATTAATAATGCAAATATAACTTTTGAGAAATATTGTAGATATTGCAACTATGAATCCATAAATATAAATTAAAATATCCTTTATCCTAATTTATTCCGATACAATTTCTTGTATCGAATATTCTGTGTGATATTTTAATTATAAGATATTAAAAATAAATGGAACAACCAATATAGAAGAAAAAGATACACAAAAAGTTATGTGGACATAAAAAATTAATTTGAATTTTATTATATATTTATTTTTTGTAATCTATGAATTTTTATAATTTTATTTGTCTATAAAAAAAGTTATATATAAAGTTGAAGATCTTGAAGAAGATATAAAAAAATAGAATATAATTACCTTGAAGACCTTCTGTGACAAAAGAACTTTTTATTTCTTCATTAATAATTTATTTTGGATAATTATCTTGAATTCACATTCAAAATAAAAGAAAAGCATCAGAAGAGAATTTGATAATATGAAATTATTTAACATAATATCAAATTTAAAAATAACAATATCGTAAAGAACGCAAAAATGTAGTTAATTTGCATATACATTTATAGTACTAAAATATCTAAATTCATCGTTGTGCTAACATGATAATCGTTCTATATTGATAGCAAATAGCTTACTTACATCGCAATGTCGTATGATGAAAAAATATAGAAAGTCAACCTCTCAGATTTATGCTTAAGTTGCTTGCCATGAAAATATTCTCACATGCATTGCAAAATAGCAGTGACTAGGAAATAGTATCAATCAATTCGTGTTAATCAACAGAGAAAGATTGTATGATAAAGATTATATCAATATTGTATTTGTACAAATACAAACTATTAAGTAGATTAATTTAATATTATCGTTATTTAAATTTTATTTCTTTTATGCCATTTATTTTATTTC